ATTTTTTTAAAATCTTAATTTTACCCTTTCAAATCTATTATATTTTCTAAAAGTTATGAAGAGTTTTATATAAACTATCTATCTTTTTATTTTTAAAATTGAACACTCAAAAATAATATATCTGCTTTCAAGAGTCCTATATAAATATAAACAAACGGTCTCTCTTCTTATAATAATAATAAAAAAAACATCTCCTTATTTTTTATATTGATGATAATTGAAGAATAAAAAATAATTACTCCTTTTTTTTTCTTATATCTGTTTATATACTGATATACATAATATTTACAATTGTCCGTTATAGATCAAATCATTGTGAATAATTTTGATTGAATCTAAAGTTATATGCATTCGTTTGAATCTAAACAGAGAAAAGCGAAAGCATTTTTAAACCAGAGATTTGCACTGCATCTTAAAATTTCGCAGGTTATTTTCATATATTTTCTTTTGTTTAAATTATATTTTATGAATTGTAATATTTTACATGATATTTTAATAACCCAATGTATGATATCAAAATTTTAAATAAGACCCCTTTCGTTAGTGTGATTTTTTTAAATATATTTTTTAATTTTTGATTTTTCATATTTTCTCAGTTTTGATAATTAAAAATATTATAAATTCTTCACATTTTATATTTAAATTATATTTTTACACGAAAATCTAATATCTAGTAATCTAAATAGAATTAAAAAGTAAAATATTGGTAAAAAAAATTATAAATTCAAACCCGTACTAATTTATTATTATCATTATTATTATTACCACTACTGCTGCTACTACTACTACTACTATTTAATATTAATAATTTTTTTCCTAAAAAGAATACATATGAATTATTTTTTAAGTGTATTTAAATTAAGTGAATCTAAATCTAACAATAAAATAAAATATATATATTAAATTAAATGAATATAAAAAGAAAATAAAAAGGTTATTAAAAAAAGTGTCAAAGACAAAAAAATATGAAAACCAAAAAATTGGAAACAAAAACTTGAAAAAACAAGCCAAACTAAACACTATAAACTTATCTTTTTTTAAAAAATTCTTCATTAATCTCTAATTTTATACAAATTATTCACAAATTCCTTTTAGTTTTTATGCGAATTTAATAATCTAACTAAAAGATGGTATACACACAAACATATAATGCTAAACCTCTACATTATGACCAACTATTTAATTATGAATAATTAATTTCTCATTGTTACATGTATTATATTGTTAGAAAAGATTTCACATATTACTTTAATGTCTATATATATAAATATACATAAAAAAAACACATAACAAAAAAAGAATATAAAAAATAGAAATGTAAATTTATATATGTTACTATATTCATACATTGTCAATCTATAATGCTATATTATTATCGGATACTTTAATTTTCTAGAATGTATTGTTTTAGTAATATAGTTATAATTGTTAGGAAAAACTTGTTAAGTTGTGTATTATTCTCCTATCAAATTATGTTCAATACATATGCTTTCGTTTGGGATGTGAATTGGCTTTTTGGCTATTTTGTTTGGGGCTAAAAAGCCTCATTTGAGATGGACTTTTTGAATTTTTTGACTTTTGTCAAAGAAAAAATAAAATGAGTATGGTTTGAATGTGACATTTTATCTTATTACTTCTAATCTCTTTTTTTTTCTTTTTTTTTTTGAGTGTGTGGATATTTTAGCCCAAAAAGTTCATGCCACATATATATATATATATATATATGTCATACAAACAAGTAATAAATCAAGATTTTGTAAAATACTTCCGTCAGAATAATAATTGTACTTGGTTTTCCCCTCCAAAAAAAAAATCACATTATTGAAGGAAAATAGATTTTGAAGTTCATAACAATATGATATCGGCTCAAACTCTTATTCATCAAAATATTGTTATTACAATGAGTTATAATGGTGAACAAGAATATGGTAAAACAAAAATTACAAAAGGTCTATTGCAACATGCTCTCCAAACGAAATTAGACGAGCTAAACTATGAATTGTCCTATCTGTTATGAAATTCAAGAAAAACAATGTATGTCACACATATTTTAGTTAAACTACAAGGAAAAAATAAATGATGCCCAAACAGTATCGTAGCACTCAATAATACAGAAAGTGAGTACATCAAATAAAAAATTTTGATCAATTTTTGTTATATGCTGATTACTTACAGATGCCATAATAAATTATGTAATTTGACAGTTTCATAAAAGTGACCCTATAAATACTTATAAGTATGAATCCATAAAAAATCGTGAAAATAATTATGAAATTCCTAAATCGAACGAAAAATTAAGTCACAATATCATTCCAATTTCTTAAAAAAACTATTCCACGTTTTCTATGTAAATGAAAATATATTAATGATTAATGTTATATTTTTCATCATGCAAGATATTTGGAGTACAAGAAACGAGACTCAATAACTCTTAATATATAAAAATATAATATATATTGATATTAATACATTCTTACAACAATAGTGTGCAAATAATATACGATAGTGGATTCAATGAATTTGTATTATGAGATGAGCTATTAAACAAAATTGTGTAATTATACAATTAATTTTACACCTTCAAGTATATTACATATACGGATTATGAAAAATTGAAGTGAAAAATTGATAGAAAAATATTTTTATAATACTATACATTTAAAATATTTGCTTATTGTTTATTATTTAAAATAAGATTGTGATCTCAACAATCTAACTATAAATTAATATTTACATTTATAAAAATTTTCATTTATCATTTAAAATTTTCAACCGAATATACATTTATTTCTTACTTAATTAGTTGTACTTTGAATATAAATCAATTTATCCATACAGTCTTCATACTTTGTATACATATCCCATTTTAATTTAAGAGACACATAATTACAATATTAACAGTTGATAAAAAATTATGCGCCACGTGTAACGCACTTGCCCAACAACTAATTTTAAAATAAATATTACACTTTGACTCTTATAATGAAATAAATTTTAAATTTTATCAATTTAATTCCTAATCTTTTTATTTATTTTTAATCTAAACTATTTGGCTATTTTTATTAACTAAAATCAATTAACAAATTGTATGTTAGTCATTAAACTCAACATAATTTTATTATTAAATTTTATTAATTAACAAAAAAAGATAAATAGTTCAAATTGAAAATAAATTAAATGTTTAAGATAAGTGTCAAATCTAAATATTTTTTCTATAATTCTTTCAAAATAAAATTAGAAAGTACCAATGTAAAAAGCCTCCTAAACATAATACAATTTTCTCAAATTACCAGTTGATATAGCAAATTTAAACCGTTCATATTTTTGAGTTGATTGAATGCAATATTGATTTTAAAGAATTAAAATGATCAAACATTACTAAATATATGTTTAAATCACATGTACAACAAAAAATGAATAACTATTCATAAACTTATATGTTGTTAAAACAAACATAAAATATATAACTACCAATGTTTGATCGTCTCAATTTTGTACACAAATATAAGAGGCCTACTAATCCGTTCAACTTGATAACCAACTTCAAGTAATCCAAAGTAACCCACCCTTTCAATTTTTATAATTGAAAAATCGATACAGACCGTATGTTAAATGAACAGGCGAGATGTAGGATAGTTGAACCACTTAGCCAATTCCCCGGCTTGCTTTAAGGCATTTTGCTACCTAGCAGAACTCTCAGGCCTCTAACAATTTCTATCAATCTAATCTTCCATTTATTTCTGAAGAACGGGAAGCTGAACACCCCTTTTTTTTCCCAATTCCGAATCTCCCTCCGGTTGCAAATGAGCTTGACTTTCCAGTATGGTGGTAAGGAAGAGAAATGTAAGTTAAAACCTCCAACCACGGGACAAGTTGACGGTAATCTACCGAGATAAGAGACCGGGCCATGTGCAATGATGCATTGATACAGATTGAACCCACACCCGTTAATAGGGATTTTACTATAAGGTCCCAAGGGTAAACAATCCCCCTTACCTCCTTTTCAGAGTAAGGATTAATTTGGTCAGTGCCGACAACCGGTGGTGCTTCTTCTTTTGGAAACTAGGGTACCCGAAGACAAATCGGATCGCACTGTTCAATTTTATTAATTTGATATAGAAGAGAAATTCACATAAAATTTTAAAAGATTTTATAATAGATTACAAAATTTTACATTGAAAATAAATAAAAACATATATGAAAATTGCTCTACAAATATTTTTCATAAAAATATAATATAAAAATATTTAAATATAATATTTAGTCAATTCAATTTACATTGACAAAAAAAATTTCAAAACCGACACAAATTGTATGTTCACAAAAACAAACCAAAAACTAAAATTTCAGTCAGTTTCAATGAGTCAGTTCAATTTTATTGATTTTTCTTACCTCCCTCCCTAATCCAAACCCTAAAATTAATAATATAAATAGTGAACAGATTAGTTTAGTTCAATTCAATCCAACCTCTTTGTGCCTTATTTATAAACTAAACAAAACAAAAAATTACTAATTTCTTAAAACCTGAATCTAACCGCCCTTTGAAATAAAGGAAGCCAAACCAACTCAATCCAATGAATTATTTTTTACCAAATAAGCATTGACAAAAGAAAATTCTTGCTAATAAAATCTAAACTAATAATGAGACACTAGCAAAGAGTTTCTCATTCCTCTCTAGATTCCCACCATCCAAACAAAATATATTTTGACAAATTTTGCAATGCCAAACACTACTAACCAAGAAAGAATTAATTAAAACTGTCCATCATCCTCGTGGACATAGCAATATAACTAATGAATCCTCAACAAATCAGCTTGATTCATTATAAAAAATCATATTAGAGCTTGACTTGTATGAAGCTCATTAAACTCATTCAAGATTGACTCACAATCCAAGAATGAACACATTTCAAAACTCCTCAAATTTCACAAACCCTGTTTGAACAACCTCATAATCGGCTCGATTTGTTTTCAGCCCAAATCTTGACAGTCACATCAAATATGAAAATTATCAGGAAGCAAATAAAAACATACCAGCAAAGTATAGATACCTAGTGCAGTAAACAACTTACCAATGCAAGGTCCTCACCATGTTTAGTATTGTCTCATTTTTCAACAAGGGAGTTTAAACAAATATAATTCCAGTCTCAAGTCAAACCATGCAGCAACTAGATCTCTCAAAAAACAAATAATAATAAACATATAAATGAAAAACTAAAACAAAACTAGAGGAACCCCAAATATCATTCTTCAAAATTCCTCCCTCCATGCAAAAAGCCTAATCATCAAAAGTTGTCTTCTTTCCTACAGTTGACACAAAAGATATGAAACCGCAAGAGAAAATCACACTAGGCAATGCCAAACAAAAGTGGTGGAAACAAGGGCAATTATGTCAGTTTTTTGGCTTTTTTAGTTCAACTTATTTTTGTCGTGAATTTTATTTTGAAGTGAAGTGACTCAAACAACTTTACTTCTTAAGCTTAGTCTCAACCAGACAATCCTACAAATTTAAAAAAAATTAAATGAGACCAACAAAAAAAGTTTTATAGGCCTTTTTTTGATAAAATTTGACTTATTTTCATTAATGAACTTTTTTCAAAATTAAATTTTTAGAATTGTTTAATAGTAACTAACCTAAAAAGTAGCAATAATTTGACTCCAAGTTGATAGTTAAGAAAAGACAAAAATAAGTTCAAAAAATAGTTTGGCCAAATGAAGCTTTATAATAATAATAATAATAAATGAAAAAAATCATACCTGTACCAGGCGTAGCCATGCTTGGTTTGTTGGGCGTTCCACGTCCTCTACCTCCACCTCCAAATCGGCCTCCACCTCCGAACCGGCCACCTCCACTGCGGCCACCACCTCGGTCACCTCTACCACCAAACCGACCACCACTGTCTCTACCACCAAACCGACCACCACCACCTCGGCTACCAAACCGACCACCACCTCTGCCACCACTATCACGACTATCTCCTCTTGGCTTTGCCTCCTCTACCGTCAAGGAATAACCTTCAATGTCAGATCCACTGAGTTCTAGAGCTTTGTTAAAAGCATCACTGTCAGTGAAATCGATGTAAGCCATCCTGCAAGCAAAAGAGAGAAGGATAAGCAGTCATTTATATAGAGCACTCAAGGCATTCACCATTCAAAACCTCAGGTGAGGAAAACCAAGTCAGAATACCTTCGAATGACAAGTAATTTGCACAATTTGTTTTATTATGTCAAAAGTGGTAATAGAGTAATGGTAAATATCATGGAAGCTTTCCCAAAATAATGTTAATCTCATCATTAAGCTTTAAGCTTTATAAAAAGCTTTCAATTTGTATGAGTGGTGTGGAGCTACCTAAAAATAGAAAATCAAACTTGTGTTCACAATTTTTACCAATATATATATAACTATTTGGATATAATAAATTACAAACAGATGTGTAAGGGTGATAAACGAACCGAAAAAGCCAAACTATTAATTGTTCAAGCTTGATTTGAATAATGTTAATCTCATCATTAAGCTTTATAAAATGCTTTCAATTTGTATGAGTGGCGTGGAGCTAACTAAAAATAGAAAATCAAACTTCTGTTCACAATTTTTACCAATATATATATAATTATTTGGATATAATAAATTACAAACAGATGTGTAAGGGTGATAAATGAAGCGAACAAGCCAAACGATTAATTGTTCAAGCTTGATTTGAAAACGTTAACAAGCTTCAAAATTTGTTCAAGCTTTGTTCGTTAAACTTTCAAGCCGATCTCAAACGAGGCTTTATCGAGCCAAGCTCGAGTAGTTTGGTATTTTTATTTAGTTTTAACGAGCCAAACAAGTAATTCACTGTTCAAGCTTGGTTTGAAATCTTTAACGAACTTGAAAATGTGTTCAAGCTCGACTTGTTTACTTAATGAACTGAGCTTGAACGAGCTTTTAACGAACCTAACACAAGTCGAGCTCAAGCTGTTTGATTCATTATTTATCAACCCTACAGATGTGTAAAGTAAAAAAACAATTATCTTCAAGCATACACAAAATACATTTATTTATTTATTGTTGCCACTGTGCAGTGTCGTGACCCTTTTCCATCAAAATTGTCATTGTAGTATCCAAGTCTCTTGCTAATATCCTAGCTTCTTAAAGCTTAGCCATTTAAGAAACATATCCAACAAAATTTAAATTAGGAGAATAGTGATGATATTAGATAAATACCCTTTAAGTTGTCCGGTCCCGCGATCTGTCGGAACAGATACCCTTGACATCTCTCCACAAGTACCAAAATGCTCTTGCAGAGAACTCCTTATCTGCAATGCATGAAGGTTGCATTATAAGAACAGGTATAGAAAAACAACAAACAGAAGGAACATTAGTGCTAGAAGAAATTTGCTTGCGAAACATTACCTGTTCCTCTCCACCACTTATATCAAAACCACGGACAAAAATGGTTTGTCCTTGAGCTTTCCCTCCCTTCTGATACGAGTCTCTCTTTTCTCTACAAATTATGGGGATCAAAATTTACATTAATTAAACCTAAATCAGTGATACTTGAGAAACCTTTAAACATGGATAGGAAAGTGTGTGATACCCGCTAAATGGAGTGTAGGCACCCCTTTCCTTCGCCAAATCAAGTCTCACGCTACGACCCAACAAATCTTGACCATCCAACTTGAGAGCCTGCAATGAAGACATGCATAGTGTTTAGAACTACCATTACCAGTCCAGAAAGTTCAGCCGACACTGTTGGTTATGTATAATATCTTGAATTCTCATTCTTCTAAGTATATCTTATTAAAGCTTAGCATCAGATCTGTTTGGTGTAAATTAGTATAAGCTAAAAACTGACAAGCAAACAGCAAACAGCCAGAAGCAACCCTTAACCGACCTTTCAGATAATCAACTTCTTTAAGCTATTTCTGTGTAATAAGTTGTAATAAAAAGTTGTACCAAACAGTCTCGCATAGACTCCCCCAAAACAACAAATTGCTATGAGCAGCACCTACAACGAGCACCAAACATCCATCGTAGATTTATGACTGTTAATCTATCCTCATTACACTTAACATTTGTGTTATGTAGAGTATATATTTTTATTTACTTCGAATGAAATATTCATATATTTTAGTACAAAACAGACTAGAAGCAAAAGTTCCAACAAATCATATGATAGGAAACTTTCAGTGGACCCAAAAAATTGAGAAACTCCTCATCATCATTCAACAAATTTCTTCACCACTGTCCAACAATTTATTGCTATTCTCATAATTACTATTATCTACTCCAACAGCACAAATAACCAACACTCCACCCGTCAGAGGGAGAACAAAATGAAAAAAGCTAGCATGACATAGGCTAACATAAACTTTACACGAACTCAACCAAATATTAACTTGAATGAGATGTACCTCTTGTGCAGCTTCTGCTGTGGCAAATTCTACATGTCCAAAACCCTTGAACATTCCTTCACCATCTGATGCAAAGCGAACATCAACAACTTCACCAGCATCTTTAAAAAAGTTCTCCCTGAAGTAAAAACCAAATGTCAGAAGATAAGCTTAGGGTTTAGAATTCCAGATTTCCAGTAAGCAATACATACACATCAGCTTGTTCAACCGAGAAAGACAGGTTGCCAACAAACAAGGTTTTTGATCCTCCACCTTGAACTTGGGGAGTAACTGGGGTTTGGGGCTGCATAAAGAAATTACATTTTCACATTCAATCATATAGGCATAGAGTTCATAAAAAAATGAATACATGAAAATTGTATATTTGATATGGTTATTGCTTTCTGACTTCAAATCATACAAACTAAAATCTGAAATAAATAACTTATTTGCCAAACAGTTACTGAAAACAACAAAGACAATACCAAACAGAGTTCTTAGTGCTTACAGCTTTTTTAACAGAATTGGCATCAACCTTTTTGCTCTTTGGTGATGTCGCGTCAATCATTTCAACATCTTTAACCTGTTTGGTGAAGAAAAATCAGGAAAATTTGGCTAGGATACTATAATTTGGGACACCCGGAACAGGAGTATTCATAAATCTACAGCTCTTGTAAGTTCCCAGTTGATGGTTGAAAAACATATGTGAGCATAAATAAAAAGATCAAACCAATGTACAAGGGCTTTATGCTTTTAGGGTAGTGTTTGGGAGAGGTAGAAGGTAGGTTGGCAGCATTGCAACCACTTTAGATGTGATACAACACTCAAATTATTAACTCAATTCTGTTTTGATGTTTAATTATCAGAATAGCTCAACTCATCTAATCTCATCTTTCAATGCATAGATACAGAAAATAGAACAAAGCCTCAAGAACCATAAACTAGACAGGACACAACAGAACCAGAACAGCCAACACAATCAGAACAATTTCAACATTTTTAAGGGAAAATCCATATCTTGAAATAAACATATTATTTAGAACAATGCAATACAATTTACCACTTTACCCCTTGTGAAAAAGTAGCAGCCTAGGCTTGTTCAGTTTATAATGTTCATATTTAGTAAATAAATAAAATAAATCAAAATAGCTAAAATAAATAAATAAATAAGGGGTAAACGTATTCATTCAAGGCGTCAAACAGTTCACTACAACAATCTAGGGCCACCCTTGGGTGCCGACTGGACAGTCACAGTCCATGACCTCAAACAACACTCTGTTCACCAACTATATAGCAACCACCACCACATCAGGGCAACCTCCACTGCAGGCAACTCACTAAACATGTTTCTTTGTTTTTGTTTTCATTTATCTTTAAAACATTTTTGTCAACCAAACAAGTTTTTATTTTTCTTTTGTTTTTAAAGAACTAGTCTTCAAAAAAATACAAAAAACTGACAACAGAATCAAATGACACCAAAATGTTATCAGAATGCAAAATGTAAATCCAATCATCAACCCAAAAATTTCAAAGATTCTCCTACCTTCTTTACTGGTTGTGCCTTTGTTGTAGGCTCATCATCAGAACCATCCTCCTCACTGCTGGAAGTTTCTTCTGTAGCTTTTGCATTTTGCTTTCCAGCTTTTGGTGCAACAGTGGTCTGGCAGCATATCGCACAATATGATCAGTTCCATGCAATTTAATTAAGCAAGATTACAGAAGCATGTGGCTGATATTTAATGCTCATGATATTCTGTACCGGGGATTTCATTTTTTTTGTTTGAGGCTCTTCATCGCTTTCATCGCCACTATCTTCATCACTATCATCATCACTGTCTGCCTTCTGTATTTACAAATAGAAGATAATGAATTTTTTTTACATAGTATCCAGAACGTCCAAAGAAATCCAAAATGCTATCGAAATTTTGAAAACACCCATCGTTCCCATGTGTGCACTACACGCAGCACAAAAATACCAGTTTGGATACCTTTGTTTCAGCTGCAGAAGATGGCCTTTTTAACGAGACAACTTTGGTTGCTGGGGCCTGCAAATTCATTGTTTCAAATAAGCAATAGTACAACACATCAAAAGATAATACAAAACAAAAGTGAAGCAGTCAGCAAATTATTATGCATTCATCACCTTATAAATGCCTCGGGTTTCCTAACATACTCACCCACTTTCGTTACCAAAATTGATTACTCAGACGTGCTCACAATCAAGGGTAGTTTTATAAGAATTTGCCTTCCAGCTCTTTGACAAATGATGCAAAATTTTGGGATAATTCTCAGTGCAAACAGCCAAATGAAATAAGAGGCCAAGAATAATAATGAGAAAATGATGGATGGGACGGGATGTTTCCCACAAGTAACTCGTGATGAACTAACAGTGGTTTAAGCATCAAATTCTTTAGAGCGATAGATAACTAAAAAATTGGAGTTTGAATCTGGCAAAGTAGCAATGGTGACCTCACAAATATTAAAGGCGGTGACTGTACTTGATAGTAGGAGACCAACATTCAGTGGTAGAGATCAGTTTCACATTGCATCATAGGTGCTAGACAATATTCCAAGCAGTTCAGTTCAAGTTTTAAATAAATGACTAACTTCTAAATCTCATAAATATATCAAAAAGATCCCCAAAGAGATGGGTCAAGTATCCCATTTACTCTGATATAGAAGCTAACATGCAGGTGGTTAGGATTAATTTCAATTTAAAGGATCAAGATATAACAAATAAAATAAAATAAAATTTATGTTTATTTTGTTATCAAACAATGGCTTTTTAATAATTTCCCATACCATTCATTGTCACATCTATCTAGTAACCAAATATTGTGGCACGAATTTCAACCACAAAATGAAGGGCCAGAGTACCACACCTCATCTTCATCTGATTCAGAATCCTCAGAGCTGTCACTTGTTTCAGTTCCCTTCTTGGAAGCCACCACTGGAACGTTCTTTGAACCAGAAGTTGGCAACTTCTTGGCTTGAGAAGTTACCTTTGCCTTGTTATCCTGAATACACCAACAATTCATAAATAACAACAGAAATTTCACTCCGATAATGATACATTGAACACAATATGATGCTTCTTGTGACAGCAACACAGCACAGTCAACCCAACTACACCCACACCCAAAACTATCTTCTGCTTGGACAAGTATTATAAAGCCAGTAGACAGCCAAATCTTCATCATCCGCCCTCTCTACTTATTTTTATTGTTTAGTTTAAAGGCAGTCAGCACTCACATCTTCATCGTCCGAGGATTCTTCTGAACTATCACTTGATTCCTCTTTCTTCTTGACAAACGGAACAGAAACTTTGTTACCAGCAGTTGACGGCAACTTCTTGGCTTGGGAGGTCTTCTTATCCTAATCAATTACTTTTGTTAGTATCTCAGTAAATACATTAGTTTTGATTCTAATAGCAAGTAGAAACGATTCTCCAAAATAAAATAGTTTCTCATGCTTATAGATAGAAATAACAACACTTTCAATCTCACATCTTCCTCATCTGACGAGTCATCAGTGCATGACTCACTCGTTTCCTCCACTTCCTCCACTTTTTGCGGCACAGCAACAGGCTCCTTCCCTTGAGTAGTGGGAGCTCTTTTTTTCTGAATAAAATATAATAATAATAAATAACTAAGAAGACAAACCTCTCATACAAAACTAACATCAATCAGAATCCAACATCATTGAACTTACATCATCATCTGTGCTGTCACTTTCATCCAAATCAGAATCATCACTGGATTCGTCTATTTTCTTTGGAGCTGCTAATGCACCATTCTTAGCTGAAACTACAGGCACTTTTTTTGCAGGTACAGCTACCTTGCTTTTAGAATCCTATATAAAAAAATATAAGATAAACTTAGAATTAAAAGTAAACTGTTGATATAATACAAAATTAAATGAACTAACAATAGTGGCCAATTAATATCAGAAACCACACAGGTAAATGTAACCCTTGTACATACTTCATCAGAATCACTCTCTTCCTCAGAATCAGAACTGTCAAACACCTTGTCCTTTTTAGCTGGGGCAGCTGCAGTGCCATTTTTAGAAGCAAGTACTGGCTGTTTCTTCAAAGGAACAGCTTTGACAGGTTCCTCCTGAAACAAAATAGCACATGGTCAGAAAGTCTTTAAGAGAACTACACAAAAAAAATTGAGGCTTGCACAGGCACTAAAAAATTATAAAGTAAATGCCAATCACATCCAATGAAAATTTACTGCAGTACTCACTTCATCCGATGAAGAATCATCACTACTAGACTCTTCAACGGGCGGCTTTACAGGAATTACTACCTTCTTTGGCGCTACCTTAACCTGTTAATTCACGGAAAATATGACCATCAATACATGAACTTGCTGCGTGTTCTCAATAAAACAATAAAGCACAAAAAAACAACAGATCATAAAATAACAATTCAAGTGAATATGTCAATAACATATTCAAAACAGGCATAAAACGCAAGCTGCATAAGCCAGTCAGCCAACAACACAAGTCAGACTAGACACATTTCACCTGTGGAGAAAGTACTATCCACCAAAAAACATCAATTCATCAAACACTTTTTTGACTTTTTTAAAGTCATTGGCTTCAAACTTATGCCCTGTCAGTTTCTCTTCTAGCATTCTTTCCTCTTTCTTTTTGTCTTACCAATTCCAAGTTTCAAACAATGACTTAAGAGAACAAGCAAAAATTTCAGAGCATTATCATCAATCCAGTTTTACTCTATCAAACATATAAAGCAACATATCTATTGCTAAGACATGTACGATTGTTTCTTTCCTCTTTCTGTTGCCAATTTTTTTGCATCACTATTGGCGATGCACACCACTGACATTCCAAAATGTAATTTTTAAGTTTATAAGAGCATTATAATGACTTGGGTAACATTCAAATAAAACAAATTTAATCTTCCCTTCTAACATAGGTACATATATAATTAATTCAACTATAGAAAATATAGAGTTTCAAATATATATCCTTCTACGGTTTTTTACAACTTCCCACTTTTTGCTAGAAAGTAGGAAGCCAATAAAATTTACGCACTAACATGTTTGGAAAAAAGAAAAAAGAAAGTTAGATAAGGTAGAATAACTTGCAAATAAATTATCAGTTATTTAGGACCACTAAAACTTGCAAGGTTTCAAAATCAATTATATCTATAAATGATTCAAGTGATATGAAAAGCAGGTTTCCAGAAACTAGAAAAAAGAGTTACTGCTCAAAACCTTCTGTTCTTCTTCAGAATCTGAAGAATCATCCTCTGAGCTACTGGTTTCTTCTTTCTTATTGATTTTCTTCTTCACGGTCTTAGCCTCGCTCTTCTTCTTCTCAACAGCCTGTTTTGTCCCAACGTTTATCTTCTGCTTCTTGGCACTCACTATCTTCTCTACCGCCTCTTCAGCTTCTCTCTTACCTATACAGACACAAACATCACAAATTCAACACCCAAAATCAATTTACGAGCAAACTAAAACACAAACATACAATCAATTAAAAACCTTCAAAAGACCAAACCTGTACACAGACGCACACACACACACAACACAAAATCAATTTATAAACGAACTAACAAGTAAACACAAAATCGAAAAGTCAAAAGACCAAACCTTTATACAGACTCACACACAACACAATTTCAGTACCCAAAATCATTTTTTACCAGCGAACTAAAACATAAACACAATCAATTAAAAACCTTCAAAAGACCAAACCTGTACACAGACAAACACACATACACACAACACAAAATCAATCTATAAACGAACTAACAAGTAAACACAAAATCAAAATCAAAATTAAAATCAAAAAGCTTCAAAAGACCAAACCTTTATACAGACTCACACACAACACAAGTACAGTACCCAAAATCATTTTTGCCAGCGAACTAAAACATAAACACACAATCAATCAAAAAGCTTCAAAAGAACGAGCCTTTATACAAATTCAAAACCCAGAAATCAATTAGCGAGCTAAAACATAAAAGCACAATCAATCAAAAAGCTTCAAAACACAGCCTTTTTTTATACACACACAACACAGATTCAAAACCCTAAAACAATTATCAAAGAACTAAAACAAAAACACACAAATCAATCAAAATCAATCAAAAAGCTATCTAAAGAGCGAACCTTTCTTCCCAGATTTGACGGGTTGCGCTACAGCAGAAGCTGCATCGACCTACACAAAATCAAAAACATCATAAGCATACACGTATATACACATACAAACATACATCAAACAACATAAACATGTATATATATACATAAAGCAAGAGAAGAGTGTTACTTTGGTGGATTTCTTGCTAGATTTGCCCATATCTGAAAGATTAATAAGGAGGAGGACAAAGAAAAACTAAGAATTGCTTTGGCTGCCGCAGAGCTGGTTCTGCAAAAACCCTAAAAAAAGTAGGGTTTTGGGATGAGAGGGAGAGATGGGTATCGCGGCCTAGGGTTTTATAGTGGGAGTAGTGTGCGTTTACGGAGCAGCTTAGAAACGGCGCTGGTTTTAGGGTTTTGATGGATAATTTTGCGTTTTGTGCACACGTGTTGACTCCGTGTGTAAGTGTGTGAACGCTAAAAACTAGAGTGAGCTGAGTTTTATAGTGGGTGTACAAAATAAAATTAGGGAAATTATTTTCTATTAAATGAATAATTAAGGTCTCGTTTGGGAACATGTTTTTTTAATAATTTTTTAATTTTTTTGTTAAAATATGATGCAAAAAAATTAGTATGTTTATGATGACTTTTTAATTTTTTATGAAAAGATGTGCAAAAAGTAGAGAGAAAATTGAGTTTTTGACTTTTTGGTATAAGTTATTGGCTTTTTAGTTTTTTTAATAACTTTTTGACTTTTAGGTTAAAAGAGACAGTTCCCAAACGAGACCTAAATGTTTTATATAGGTGTGGGGTTTTTATTTTTATGAACTCAACACCTATGTAAGTGTACGGGGAAGAAATAATTCTCCTCGTATAATCCTGTTGACTAAGTCCACGCTCCTCCGTACGACGTCGCTTTGTCACCTGGAAACACAAACGTGAGCTAGCCGGCGGGTGTGTGCCAGAAACCTCTCCGATGCCTAAGTCAGAAAACTTGACAAATAGACAAAGCTCAATGTGTTCAGGAAGAAAAATTGTATGTTGTGTTATGTTATGTTACCTCCTCCGAGGTGATGCTTGTGAGCTTTTATAGGTTTCGCGTGGCACAATCCTAGTAGGACTTTTATTCCTCCATGCAGAGTCCTCCTAGGATTCATACTCCTAAAAGATAATGCTTATCCTTTTATACCCCCACTGCTTAAACCAAGTGTGATGGTTTTCACCACGGCCGAACTGCCATACGACCGAGATAAACCTGGCTATTCTGAGCCACAGAGTAGGCCGTACGAACAGTAGTTCGGTTCTTCCTCTTGTGTTAATAGAATAGAGAAATAATAGGAAGTCTGGTGGGAGAACTAAATGAAAAAGTGATTCCTAAAATAGAAAATAAATTTTTTAATAATATTTTAGGGTAAAATTTAAATAAACTGGTGGGATGCTCTTATAACATTTTCCAATTCTCTATCCATCAACTCTTCTCCATTTAAATTGACCTAAATTAATGTAGGATTTTTTATTTTTAGGTGATACTTAGATTGTGTTTAATTGGGAAATTTGAAAAGAAATGAAAAAATATATAAAATATGAATAAAATAGATTTATATTTCATCTGATTTTATATATTTTTTTCTTTCCCTCTTCAAATTCCTCCCCAAATTACTTAACCAAACATAGCCTTAAGGATGGCAAAATACCCGATCTGTCGGTTTCTCAACCCTACTCGACTCTACTGGAATGAGTTTGGGACTGGTTGGAAATGTTAGGGTCAAATTTGAAAAAAAAAATTGAGCAACTAGATCGAATTTGAGTCATATGAGGATAGTTTTTTTTTTAGTTTTTTTTTTTTTCACTTGTAATTGATCTACAGATATAATAATAAATAAATAATAATATTATATGTAATGTTTGCATATAGTATAATATTCGTTAATATTTGTACAATATATATATTTTTTAATTATAAATATAATTTCTAGTTTTAATTATTGAATTTCAATATTATTATTAAATTTATTATTGTGTTGCACATCAGGTAAGGTGGGATGTGTGTTACATTTAAGAGTTTGAGGTGAGTGTAATGGAGAGTTTTCAGACGGGCCAGGTCGAAAATGATAGGTTGGGTTGCGTAGGGGAACCCGGATACCATACATGTTGTCATGCTAAAGGTCTTGAAAATAAAATAGTAAGTAAAATTTTAGATATATATGTATATAACTTTTTTTTTTTATGGGATTTGCTTTTCTATAGTTGACAATCTCAATTGGACCGGGATGTTTTGGTTTGTAAGGTCTGCAACGAATTCTGTTTCGATAATTTAAATTGTTCATTTTGTTGATATATTATATATAGGGGAAAAAATAAATTAATCAGATAATCATAACTTTTTAAATTTTATTGTTTTCGTCTCCAAAAAAATAGATCTTCTCTTTTAAAAAATACACTTATTGTCATTATTTTTAAACAAATGCCATAAAATGAAGAGGCTATGATTATCGAATCGATTTAATTTTTTTTATGTATGATATATACAGAGGGCAGTACAAAATAAACAGTTCAGGTTGGGGATCTGTAGCGAGCTCTACGGACCCAAACAACCTAGGTCCAGTTGACTTCTCAACTTAAGAGACGTCGGCTCATTTTTTTTATTGTATATTATTTAGGGATTGTTTGGGATGACCTAAATAAGTGTACTTTTTGTATTTTTACAAAAAGATGTGCAGAAAAGTAGAAAAATGATGTGATGGAAAAAAGATAAAAAGATAAAAAAATAAATTATTTTTGGGTTGCCAAACTTGACCTTAATTTTAATTATTTTATAAATTCATTTATGAAATATAATTTAAAATAATATAATGTATTCCATTTATTTGTATTAGGATGTTTTGCTTTATTCCGTACAGGAGAGCCTACACCCATTTCTTTTCATAGCTCTTTTGACTTCGAAAGATAACAGTAGCTAAGGCAAAGCTCACAATGAGCTAGCTACATCTCTTGTGAGTCAACCTACATGGGACAGCCATCAAAAATAAGATCGATGCAAGGGCCATGTACATAGATCAACGAGTTGATCACGATGAGCTAGCTACATACAGACAAGCATTAGAAATAAGATCGATGCAAGGGCCACGTACATAAACCAACGAGTTGAATCCATTTATTTTCTCACATTTGAGCCTACAATTGGTAGGCCAAATCCCCTTACAAGAACATTCACAATAGAATAGTTAAAAATGAATTACATGACAAAAAATAATAAAAGTATGACCTATTTTTGTATGTTAAGAATTGTTAGTTCAGTGAGCGTATGTATGACTGCAATGGATATATGTTAAGCTGTGTATTAGATAAAAGTAATGTGTTAAAATATATATAAAGAAAAAGTATAAAAATATAAAAAATTATAAAATGTACAATAAGACTCCACCATCAGTCATCTTCTTTCTATCTCCCCTTTCCGTCAACTCATTAGTTGGCTGGCCACAGTTGTAATGTACACTAATAGTTGACAATGTTAGTGTGCACTTTAACATCTTCTAGCAGTTCCATTGTGGAGACTGAAGTGAAAATGGCTAGCTTAAATTTTAGCGTCTGACACTAACAAATGCATTGGCCCGTCCATTGCTAATGCTCTGACCTCCCCCTCCAAGTGATTGAATTGAATTTATCTGCTATAAGTTATCACATAATTCCTCTATTTTTCTGCATATATTTTCATAAAAACCAAAAAAAAAAAAAAACTAAAAAAGCAAACTCCAAACCACCCTCAAAGAGTAAAAAATGAGTCTATTAAAAGTGTAAAAACAAAAATGACACGATCGACAAACTATAGGGACTATTGTTATAATTTTTTCAAAAAAGAAAAGAAAAGAAAAGAAAAAAACTAATCAAACACAAATCTAACTCAAATAGTTTGATTTATTTTGTTGTCATAGAAGCCACCTAATCAGTGTCCACACACAATTACAATTGAAATATGAATCAAGCTTGACTAATAGTTTACTTTATTAGTGTCCCAACTGTGATGTTTTAAGAAAATGGGGATTGCTCGAGCGATGGAAGTACCACTCAAGTGGTGAAAATGGGGCATTCAGTATCTCGTTAGCAGGTCAAAAATTATGGGAATGAGGCTTTTTTGCTTGAGCAACCAAGTCACCACTCGAGCAGTTCTTACTCTTACATTGCTTGAGCGGTAAATTGATCTCTTGAGTAGTCTGTTCGTAGTCAACCATTTAAAAATCATTTTTCAGTCAACTTTTCTCACTTTTTTGTTTCCTCTCTTCCCCTTTTCCCTATTTCTGAAAACCCCAACCCAAGTCCCAAACACTTGATTTCTTCTATTTCTACCAAGGATCTCTTCAAAAACTTGCATTAGAAGTGAACAACTAGTGAAGACCAAACTTCTCACCGATTGGATCGTGTTTTCATCAAGGTTTCGAGTTAGGTTTTTAACTTATAGCTTTCATTTTGAGGTAGGGGCATTCTTAACCTTGTATGTCTATGAGTTTATGTAGATATATGGTATTTTCTTAGTTATATATGTGTGTGTGTGTGGGTGTGTGTGTGTGTGTTTATGTTGTATTACATGGATTTCATGCATGAAAAAGGGATTTCAGGAATAACCCTTTATGATAATGAGTGTTGATGAGGAAATTTTACTTTGGAAATATAGATGGGAAAAAGCCCTAATTTTTATTCAAACCCTACTTTTGAATTTTGTCGTAAAGATGAAATTTTGTTCAATTGGACCTTGAGTCATGAAATTAAGGTTGTGTTTGGTAGAGTTTTAGAATTATGATTTGAGAATAGAGTTGTATTTTGAGTTTGTGAGTTTTGGAATTATGATTTGAAAAGAAAAATTTTGTTTGGTTATGAGTTTCGAAAAGATTTTTGAATTTTTGATGTGACATATAAAATGAGAAAATTTGTTCGGTTATGAGTTTTCAAAAGAGTTTTCAGAACTTAATTAAAAAAGTTATAACTTATAACCAAACACACAACTCAAAACACTATTGAAAATTCTATTCAAAACTCATAACCAATCTCTTTTTAAAATTCAATTAAAAAAAAATAATTGTGAAAAAAATAACATTGAAAATTTTTTAATTGAAAATATTACAAACAAAATAATTTTTTTTTTAAAAATAAATATTCAATTACTGCTTTAAAATAACTTTTGATTGTATATTTGGTTAGAATTATTGTGTTTAAATATTTTTGACGTAGAATATTTTTATATTTTTAATAATTACCGTCACAAATCATTTGCTATTTATTGTTAAGCATTATTTTCAAATAAATGGCCAAAGAATTTGTCATCAGTACGTGGGAAATCCAAAAATGTTACAATGTACACCAAATGCACAGTGAAATAGAAACGTTGAACTGATCCGAAAT